TAATTGTACCCGAAGCTGACGTTGGGAAACATGTGACAGAATCTGTGCCTTTGGTTCACTATTCCAATTTATACAAATTTATTGCACAATTACTAAGTCAACAAGACTTATCTGAGAATAATTTTCGTATTAAATTTGGACTAGACAGTGGAGGAGGATCCTTAAAGCTTTGCTTTTCTATATGTTCACTTCAGTAATACTGAAACAGACGAAAAAGAAAATCGTAAAAGCACCAGCATAAAAAAATTAATGCTTGTTGGTCTAGGACCCAAAATAGTTGAGATATATAGAAATATCGAAATGCTTTTTAAAGTCATTGAAATTCATAAAATTTGAGGTATGTTCTTACACCTTTGCCTCCGATTTAAAATTACTAATGATCATATTAGGCCTTCAGTCAAACTCATCGTGTCACCCTCGCCCTTGGTGTGATATTAGCAACAAAGATTTGGCAAATAGGGACAACTAAGAACCATTGAGAATATAACAAAATGCACCAATCAATGGAAAGAACAAAGTTGTGACCTTAGCAAAACAAAAAATGTTGGTATGTTTACATTTAGTTTTTACTTTTATTGTATTACAAGTACAATTAGCAGATATATGTATTTTACAAAATTTTTAGGAAATTGTGTTAACTCTCGTAACTGTAAAAAGTGGCGAAAGATTCAAGAAAACTACTTAAAAAAGTAGGTAACTTAGAAACTTTGGCCACAGGTGAATACAATAATATTACTCCTTTCTGTTTCGCTGTATTTTTATTTTGTTTTCAATTTTTCTCGTATAGACACAAATTACAATAGGTTTTAAATATATTTTTTGCATTTTAGAAAATAAGTACATACCAGTATTGAAATCTTTTGACAAAGTAGTTGCTGCTTGCTTTGGACAAAATCTGGATGCCAACTACAAAATATATATTAACAACTTTTATGAGGAAATAAAAAAGCAAATATCAAAATAACTCCAAAAATACACAGCGTCGTGCTGATTTCATTGACATAACAAGCCGAGCCTTGGGGCTCTACTCAGAACAGGCTCCAGAACAGCTACATTACTCCTACAAAACCTTTTCTAAAAACTTTAACATAAACCCCAATTCTGAAAATTATATAAAATAGTTAATTAGAAGCGTCAGTGCTTATAACAGCAGACATATTTAAAATACAATAATTGAAGAGTATTTATCTAAGTTGTTCTCGTTTAACTAAAGACTTAAACTATGAAAAATTGTTGTTTCATATCAAAAAGTAAAAAAGAAAAACAAATTTCATATTTTTTATTAAATATTAGTCGCAACAATTCAATGATTTTGTCGATTTCGTTAATTAAAGCAAGTAGTACATTTCATAGAAGTAAACATACCAAAATATACAACATCCTGTAAAAAACAAATAGCTACGTAGCCGATTTTGAAAATATATTTTTTTACAAGGTATAAATATGGACTTTTGAAAAATTGATTGATTAAACGAACTTACCTAAGTGAAGTTCAATCACAATTATGATCCGCCTCGCCTGAAATGATCACTTATATGTAATAACCCTCAGTTACGCGCCAATCTCGCACAATTTAAAGCAAAATTCAAATTTCGTTCCAACTCCATCGCTGGCGCCCTCATCGGTACGTCAAATCATTATTTTTAAAGCTCTATGAGTCGCAACCCAGAAATGATCCGGGTGGGGTGAAGTTAAAGAATGAATGGGAAGGGAGTGATCATTTCAGGCGAGGCGGATCATAATTGTGATTGAACTTCACTTAGGTAAGTTCGTTTAATCAATCAATTATAATCCGCCTCGCCTTCATGATCACTTATATGTAGATGTTCAGACGTTCAGGTTGTGACTCTATCCAAGCACGGTGGGAAATGAATAAAAATCATCAAATTATTAAAGTAATTATTATCGGGTGAACAAAATCAAATAAAACTGTTATTAATAACCAAGTATTCCTTAGCTTGATAAGGTTTAACTAAATATTATTTTCTATAATAGCTTTCGCGAAAGTTCCCTTAGTGGTTAAAGGTCTTTGGTAAAATCTAGCAAAAACCGCAGAGTCCTTGGACCAGCCTGCAGCCTTACGAATCACATCTAGCGAGACTCCTCTACGATCAGCGGCGGAGACTGCCGCATGCCTGGTGCTATGGGAGGTAAACTTGTTTATATCTAGACCGCTGCTTTTCATAACTTGCTTAACCCATCGGCTCAAGGTCTGTGTTGAGGCCGCTTTATGGGGTTTCTTGTATGTCACAAATAAATGTTTATCTTTTCGTAATGGGTGAGTCCGGGAAATGTATACAGTCAAGGTTGAAGCCGCGCAAACCGCCGGTTGGTTTTTGAAAAAGGGTAAAAAGAGAACCGGATTAACACTGTTTGGTCTCGTAGTCTTGATGCGTGAAGAAATTTCCAAGCCCTCTGGTGTATTTTCGATGTTGTCTAAATCGATGAGTGAAAAGGTTTGTATTCTGTGACCGGTCACCAATGATAATATTGTTATGGTCTTCAGCGTTAGCTGCTCTAAAGAGAGTGTTTCGAGAGGAAACAGAGTTGATAGATATTGTAGAACTATGGATGGATCCCAAGTCGTATCGTATCTCGGGGTCGGTCGGCGTAAGTGGAAAATTCCTTTGCAAAAGCGTTTAATGTGTATTTTCGATGTTGTCTAAATCGATGAGTGAAAAGGTTTGTATTCTGTGACCGGTCACCAATGATAATATTGTTATGGTCTTCAGCGTTAGCTGCTCTAAAGAGAGTGTTTCGAGAGGAAACAGAGTTGATAGATATTGTAGAACTATGGATGGATCCCAAGTCGTATCGTATCTCGGGGTCGGTCGGCGTAAGTGGAAAATTCCTTTGCAAAAGCGTTTAATGTGAGAATCGTTACCAATATCTGAAGGCATTATAAGGATAATGCTGATCGGGCTGTATTGATCATGCTGTGTGATGCCGATCCCTGATACAGCTCAGCCAAAAATTCCAAAATAATAGGGATTGATTCTTCCAAAGGGTTCCACTGTTTTGTAGCACAAAAGTACCACCACCGCTTCCAAGTTGAATTGGATTGTTTGAGCGTTGAATCTGTCACAGAGGAGATGAAAATATCTATTGTGCTGGATGGTAAACCTCTGGCAGTGAAAGCTTTCCGGACAAATGTCCGACCACTAGGGTAAGGTTTCGCCACAGGGGATGGGGCCTGTGAAAACATGTCAGCATATTAATATTGGGTTGCAAAATAAGGGGGGGCTTTTTAAGAAGTGATGTAAAAATCGGGTACCAGGGTTGAGTTTTCCACAAAGGAACTACGAGAATTCCCTCAGCCCGATCAAAAGAAATTTTCTGAAGCACGCGTGGAATTAAAATAAACGGGGGAAAAGCATAGAAAAAATAATTCGTCCATAAAACGGTGAATGCATCTATGGTAAAGGCTTCTGGGTCACGGGCCCATGAAACAAATAAGTCACACTTTTTGTTAAGCCGACTGGCGAATAGATCTATAGTTGGGCAACCAAAAACTCGAGTGATTTGTTGGAAAGCCCGGGTAGATAACGACCATTCTGTGTCAGGAGTATTGTGACGCGATTCCTCATCCGCTTCTCGATTGTCAGCGGATTTAATATAGGAGGCGTAAATCCAAATATTACGTGCTTCGCACCATTGCCAGATTTTACGACTAATATTATTAAGTTCGGGAAATTGAACCCCACCCATGCGATTCACGTAGGAAATAGCGCAAGTATTATCCACCCGCAAGAGGATCTCACAATTAGCTTCTGATCCAGCAAAGCATTTTAACCCGAAAAGAATTGCTAAAAGCTCTAAAGCGTTAATATGTTTAAATTTTTCCTGGTCAGACCAGTGGCCGTGAGCTCGCTGTTTCTGGCATACAGCGCCCCAACCCGTAAGAGAAGCATCTGTAAAGATGGTTAATTTGAACTGGAAGCGTCTGATAGGACAGTATGTATTAGTTATATTATTTTTCCACCATAAAAGGTCTTCGGTCAGCGTCTCAGGAGTATTGATCCACGCATCGTAATTATCAGAATGCCTTTTTAGTGCCAAAAACTTCGTACGTTCTAAAAGTTTCATGTAAACCCAACCATATCTGGTAGCGGGACAGATAGAAACTAGAGTACCAATCAATTGGGCTCTAATTTTAAAGCGCTCCGATCTAAGAAATGAAGTTAACATGCATTGAAGACGACGCTGCTTCTCTAAGGGTAATGTAACTCTCATTAACGCAGAGTTAAATTCGAAACCCAAGAAGGTGCAAACCTGTTGGGGAATGAATTTGCTTTTCGAATTATTAATATTAAAGCCCAGCTGCGTAAGTAAACGTCGAGTGGTATTAATATTATTTGAACAAGAAACATATGAGGGACCAGCTAGCCAAAAATCGTCCAAATATACCACTGAAATAAATCCCTGAGATCGTAGATGGGCAACCACCGGTTTGACAAATTTTGTAAAAACAAAGGGAGCTGTATTAAGGCCAAATGGGAGGCAGTTGAATTCATAGGTAACCCCTTGAAATTGGAAACGTAAATATTTTTTGTCAGCCTCAGCAATGGGTATCATAAAATAGGCATCTTTAAGGTCCAAGGTGCCCATAAAAAATCCCGGTTGCATAAGTCCAAGAACGGTATTCATATCCTCGAGTTTAAAGTGTTCAGGCTGAATGAATGTATTCAATTGTTTCAAATTTAAAATAAAGCGCTGAGAACCGTCAGGCTTCGGAACCATAAATATTGGAGAAATAAACTGGTCAGCACAAGGATCGCAACGCGATATGGCTCCGAAAGAAAGGAGTGAACGGAGATTGTCCAAAATCACCTGTGATTCAGACTGAGACCACGTGGTGGGTTTAGGTGGGTGGTCCTGTAACACAGGTCTAACAAAAGGTAGTTCATAACCCCTGATCCAAGATAAAATTACAGGATCATTTGTAAGTTTTTGCCATTCAGATAGGAAAAATTTTAATCTACCTGCCTTTGGAATCTCAGCTAATGATGACGAGTTGAACGATGGTTGGGTTTGGTCTGGTACCTGAACTTTTCTGGAAGAGCAGTGAGTTTCTGTTTGCCCTGATAATGCTGTTGTGGTCTGTGTCCACTTTGACGAGAGGGCTTTTGTGGTTGTCGAAGTGGACGGTTGAAGTTTAAATGAGTAGACTTTTGAGTTTTTGGTGCGGTTACAGTTACAGGTGTAGGACGCACTCGAAGCTCTGCAGATGTTTTGTCAAGAGCTTTTGCAGCTTGGATACGGTCCCGTAAATTATTGCCAAATAGCCAGCCGTCAACACATTCCTCTAACAGAGTCTCACCCAAGTTTTTATTTAAACCACCTTTAATCATGGCTCGGCGTGCTTGAGACTGGTCGAAGTGAATATCAGCAAAGATACGTGCGGCATCACTCGCACGTTCAATAATTTGGCGAGTAATATCGGATGATTGTTCTCCTGACAGGGCTAGATTCAATAAACCACCAATAGCGGACATTCCAGCACAAATTTTGGTCTGTGTACCAGCAACTCGTAAATCACGGGCCACAGTAGCTTCTGTAACCGATTTTTTAACTTCCACATTTAATTTTGGTGCTTCCATAAGCCGACAATTAGAGAAAGCCGGATATTTTTCAAATAAAGTGGCACGAAGATCAGATGGTAATCCCGATTGGAAAATTTTTGTCCAAATTTCTGCAATATTCTTGTGAATTGTTGGAGCTTCCTGTTTTTTCGCATGCGTGTGATAACCCAAAAGTTGAAGAGTTTCCTCATCTAAAGGGATTGCATTCTCATCTTCTTCAGGTCCCCAGTCAGAAGGCCGTTCAGCTGTAAGGATAACATCCTTATTAATATCAAGAAAAAAGCTTACAATCCTAACAGGATTATAAAATAGCGACCAACGGTCTAGTGGGTATAAGGTAAACTACCTTTAACCACCTTTTTATATTCCAACTTGAAAGAATAAGTCCTTAAACAAACAAACAAGAAATTGAGGTTATGTACTTACAATGAGGTGAAAAGGAGGCGGCAATGCCGTCTTCCAGCCCCAAACTTGCGTTATTTTCTTTAGAGGGAAGAGGTAAGTCCCGTAGGGGTGTTGTGGGTACAACTCGTGCTCGTTTTTCCCTTAACTTTTGATCCAGTAATTTCCGTAGTTTTTTCACCTGATTTCTAACCTCATCCTCATTTTCAGACGATGAACTAGTTGGCGAATGTTCTCGACGACGTTTCGAAGATGTAAACATTGTGAATTATTATTAAAAACAAGATTAAATTAGAAGAACGTGTGCTTGTTGGCGCGCACAAAAGAGTAATGATTTGACGTACCGATGAGGGCGCCAGCGATGGAGTTGGAACGAAATTTGAATTTTGCTTTAAATTGTGCGAGATTGGCGCGTAACTGAGGGTTATTACATATAAGTGATCATGAAGGCGAGGCGGATTATAATATGCGGTTCATCTTTTATATATTTTTATTGTTGAAACTTTGGTCTAGGCGAACTGGGTTTTAAATTGGAAAAATTATCCGATTCGTACTACAGTAAATATGAAAAAAACGCATTTTTCCGAGTTTTTTTTCACAATAGTTTATTACGCTCGTGCGTCGTGCCTCGTGATTTTAGGTAGGAATTGAACTATTTTTGCAATCATTAAAGAAAACATAAGATTTGGCGCAGTGTGCTGTATACAGAACTTCGCCAATCATCAGCGTTACAGCGTTATAATCCAGAACAATTGAGGTAAGTAATAATGATTAAAAAGACGGTTACTGCCGAGCCGTTGATCCGATTGAGTTAAAATTTTGTGTTGAAAGTCGAAGTAGGTTTGAAAAATGCGCACAAAAATCCAAACATTACCAAGTGGAATCGAGCATACTGTTGAGTAGACATTGCATTTTTTCCGTCTGAGCTCAGCTATACAGTATAGTATATACTGTATACTATACATATACAGGGTGGCTTAAAGGTTTGGAATATTGAGTGTAACTTTTGAAATATCGATAATATTAAAAAATGATTTTTATAAAAGTTGTTTGGTAGTCCATTTCAAATTTTACGGTAATATTGCCAACTTCAAAAAATAAATACGTAGCCCCCAAGAAGGCCAACTTTTTTTAATTACAACCAGGGTTGTGAACCGTAACAAAATTTCGGTCCATGGACCGGTTCGCCAGCGGTTCAGTTCCAAAAAAGGTCCATGTAACCGGACCGTTTGTGGATCGTTTGTGTTGGACCGGTCCAGCAAAAATAGGTTCGACTGAACCGGTCCGTTTTGGAACATTGACAGTGTGGACCGCCAAAAACGGTCCGGTCCACGGTCCATGGACCGGTCCGAACGAACGAAAACGTATCCTCCCAAACGTTTTAAAGGGTGAATGTGGCACGTCAATTTTTATTTGTAAAGGGAGACATTTTATTGTACGACCCCACCCGCACCCCTACGCGCTCTACCCCACCCGCCCCCAAAATCTTAAATTGCACGGGGGTTTAAGTGATATCGTTTTAAAGGTCTTTTAATTCTTAATAAGATACTGCAATTTTCTCATAAATCTGTTGGTCAGTTTTTTAAACTAGGTAAATTAAGAGAAAAACAAAAAAATTGTTTAATCAACTTTTTTGTGGGTCTCATGGAGCAAATGTGGATTAGGATTGCTCCAAATCTTATAAATAGTGATTCACTAGCTAAAGGTGATTTATTCAATAGCTGTATACTTGTGGCTTTGCTCGGATAACGTTTTTTCAGCAACTGTCATTTTGACAGCTCATTTCGGCAACTGTCATTTTGACAGTTTTTATTTGGCTCCTGTCATTTTGATAGCTGTTATTTGGGCCCCTGTCATTTTATCACCAGTTATTTTTACAACTTATTTTGACAGCTGTCATTTGGGCACCTGTCATTTTATCATCACTAATTTTTATAGCTGTTATTTTCGCACTTCCGCCATTTTGACAGTCTTTATTTTGACACCTGTCATTTTGACAGTTGCCATTGTGAACAACGGAAGATGGAGAGAATCACTTTGAGCGTATTTCTCGTTGATTTACAATAATTGTAAAAAAACCATTATTGTTTTTTCACTTATTTTACTTAATTTTTTCATGAAACGTACATTAAAATTTGTCCCCCTAGAAATAATGTTAGATTTATCATTCCACGTTAGATTTTTATATTTATTTTACCAATTACAAAAAATTTTCAGAAAATAATTAAAATTTTCGGAAAATCGCTTTCTCGTAAATAACTTAATCATTAAACATTTCTATAGATTCTGAAGATTTGAGCTGTTAATATTAACTATAGTAATTATTTTTCGAATTTTGACGATATTTGTTTTTTTAATTTGGTACCCACTGCGCCCACATAAAACCAACTGGTATCTAATGCGCATGGAAACCACCACCTGGTACCCACTACGCATAAAAACTATCACCTGGTACCTTCTGCGCATAGACACAATAATCTCGTATCCACTGCGCATAGATCAAATCATTTGGTACAAAGTGCGCACACATTAAACCACCTGTTACTTACTGCGCATGGATCCAACCATCTGGTACCTACTGCGCATAAAAATAAACCACCTGGTACCAACTACGCATGGAAACCACCACCTGCTACCTACTGAGCATAGACATAATAATCTCGTACCCACTGCGCATAGATCAAATCATTTGGTACACAGTGCGCACACATAAAACCACCTGGTGCTTACTGCGCATGGACCCAACCATCTGGTACCTACTGCGCATAAAAAACGTCTGGTACACACTGCGCAATAATGCGAATACATAATGATTAATTAAAATTTAAATATGTATGTAATACTGTTTAATATGCACGGTCCCTGACAAAAAAACTGTCTTGGACGGCTATCAAAAAACCTGGCAACGTTGCTAAAAGCCATTTCACCAAATTTTAGAATTTAAAGTGTCCTATTTAAGAAAGAACAATGTCACGGGGGACAACCCGACCTGGCGTGGACGCCATTTATATATACTTATACCAGCACGTAGTGTGTACCTATTCAGCGCCGGATTTAGGGGGGGTCTTTGGGGGTCTATAGACCCGGGGCGCAAGCTTACAGGGGGCGCAAAATTTTTTACTGGTAATTTTTGTTTTTTACTACAACCTAAAGGGTTTTCCCCTTTTTTATTTTTCGTGTATTAATCAGTATTAATAAAAAAATTATTTAAATTATAACCGTGATTGTTGCCATAGTATTATTATCTATGCATAGTATACGAAATATGTCATGTCACGTATTACGTAGGGCGCCCGACAAGTTGTTGTGCGACAAGAACTTTAGTTTGCAGAAATTGATTATTTCCACTGATGCGATGCGTATGGGCGTAAAGGTTTTTTAATATGTATAAGAATATTTTATTACACTACGAACAACTATTAATTTAAATTAGTTTAAAACTATAGTTATATACAGTACCAGTCATATATATATGTGTGTATATATACAGTATAGGTATTAGCCTATTGAAAGATGACGTCAATATTGCGATAAACAAATTTGCTTCTCTAAAAGCACGCAAAGTTGAGTTGGCAAAATGTTAATTTTCTTATTTAGGTATTTGTTTTTTATATAGTTTTTGTTTATGTTTTTAGGGTGGCAAATATTTTTTCGACATTTTTTTTTTATTTCGGAGCTCACATGAAACAATTTAAGTTTAAAGTATTCAAGTTTCAACTCAAAAAAAAAATAAACGTCGCTCAAAAAAATCAACTAAATTGGAAAAATAGTAGTTGTTACAAGATCAAAATTATTAAAAAAATCAAGAAATGTATTTCAAAAATATTGAGCGACCAATAATATTTTTACTTAAAAATGTATTCTGTTCCTATACGACCTACAAAAAAAATAGTGAGAAGCCAAAGATTTTGAGAAAAAAGGTTTGTTTAAAAAAGTTTTGAGCGACGTCTAAAATTTTTTTATTTGTTGAAACTCAAATACTTTAGACTTATTTTTTTTATTTGATCTCCAAAATCAAAAAAATTTCGAAAAAATACTACAACCCTAATGTTTATGGTTAAATAAAATCCTTTTGTTAAGAAGTGACATTTCTTTTAATTTATTATATAGGTAGGGGCGGAAAATTTTTATTAGACCCGGGGCGCAAATATTTATAATCCGGCGCTGTACCTATTACGAAATTATTATATGTATATTATTATATGAAAATTGGGTTTAGAGCAGTTATCCCTTTGCGCGCGTTTAAAGTTTCACTTCAAAAATCCGCGAGGGCCAACAAAAAAAAACTTTATTTGGTGGAATGACCCATATAATATATAAAAAAAATCTGACATCTGTTAGTTCCAATCTCACTTTTTCCAATTTAAAACCCGATTGGTTCAAATCACAGTAATAATAATAATGTCAATAATATGAAAAAGGAGTGGAAATAATCTAATAATACAAATGTTTGGACCGGTTCAAAGTGTTTAAACCGGTCCAGTACCGCTCCAAAACACTTGAAAACGGTTCGGTCCAAAATTTGTACCGGTCCAAGTAATTTTAAAAACGGGACGGTCCATGGACCGGTCCAGAATTATAACTTGTTTATTTTGGGTACGGACCGGTCCGTAACAAACAAGCGGTTCTTGGACCGGTTCACAACCCTGATTACAACCCCCTTTTTATATCAGAATTTGAAAGAGGCTATTTTTCTAATTACAACAGTACATATTGAACCAATATCAGGTGGCTGAGCGTGAAACGTTAAAAAAATTTAAATTTGTATAAAAGTTTATTGTTATAGTTTTTTTGAGGCTTCACATAGTTTACCTGTAATTCATTTTTAATTCGACATTCAGTACAATTTTCACATATGTATATATATATATATATATATATATTTATATATATATAACAGTGTGCTAATAGTAAAATAAATAACTACCATTTTAAAAAACAATGCGTACTGAAAAAGAAAGAATTGAAATTTTAATGATGGTTGGGTATGGTGACCGAGAAAGGACTCAGCAAGAAGTATGTGCATTATTTAATGTCACGTAATCGTAAAAGGAGCCTCTGACACAATCATGCGTAAGCAAAATTGTAAACAAAAATTCTAATCCGGAAGTGTGAAAAATAGGTCTAGAAGCGATCGACCAAAATCTGCCACTGCTGGAGATGTTGCCTTGAATGTGCTATTGCAAGTCCAGAAAGTACCTACAGTTTCTTGTCAGGGGGTTGCCCGAGACAACGATATATGCGTTAGTGCAAAGGTTATTT